TATTTTTGGAATCATGTACTATTATAGATAATAAAAGTGTGTGATAACTTAGAGGAAGCGTGTAGTAAAGTGGGGGTTTGAGCATAGCTAATGGACACAGAAACGATTGAATGAAACGTCCGTTTGAAAAAGCAACTTTCTTATAGTTACACTATTACAGGATCGTTGACACACAAATTTACAAGCAAACGCCTCATTTTATTAGTATACTCAATGTTTCACTGAAACGACATATTAATTAGTTAAATATAATTGTTTAAGTTCATGGTTATGGGAAATGTATTGCAGAATAGTTTTGGATTAATGAGCTTTATTAAAATAAGTATCATGGAGACCACTCAAATTGAATTCATTTTAAATAACAGTTTGGTCAGTTTTTTTTACAATATGTATAATTATCAGTGTGCCGAGTAGGCCTACTGCTTGCCTTGAAATCTGAAGGCCACTGATTCGATTCCAGGCGAAAACGTTTCTGGACACATATGCCATAGGCATATCAATTGATAATTGCTATCTAACATAAAGTTGACGTAAGGCAGTGCCCAGGATTTGGACCACGCTCTTACACAAAAAACCTAAAAATGCCAATGTAGATCAAACAAAAACAATACTTAAAATTCAAGATAGGGACGAAGACTATCCTATTATTGTGAAAAACCTAATTTTACTGTGTGTAGTTAACGTAGTTGTAAATGGTCCAGTTTATTTCCACATTCCAGGATCTATGTTAATGAGGATAGCTTATTACCAAGGACGAGGATGCTTATTTTTACTTGACACACTGACAGAATGCCGGAACGTGTTCACTATCAAAACAACAAGATGAACATGTTACACCTACAAACTACAGACCTCCAGGCATAGTTAAACGATGTTTAGACAATTAGCTATTTTAAGATAACTAGCGTATGCATGATAGCTCATTTTAATACAAAATTTGTTCCTTAAATGTTTGAGAATTCCTAATGTTACTAGTTTTTCAGGATCTTAATTGTATTGAATATGAAAAGTCGAAAAATGTTGCAATTTTTAATTGAATTGTACTATGTCTGCTAATAGAGTTGCAGACTATTTAAATTTCAGAAATCTGACCAATATTCCATCTATCTTAGCATAAAATGTAAATTTTCTCAGTGTTTTTAGTTCATCATCAAAGAACTCAACTCAACTTCACATAACTCACGAAGTCGGCAGAATAAAATTTGGGTCTGAAAGGGTTAAAGATCTTTCCAGGAAATAACAACACTTAACAAGAAGTATTTTTAATGAATCGTCCAAAATAAAATAACAAAATAATAAAATAATTATATTAATAAAACGGATTTAATCTAAGTCTTGTCCCGGTAGTTAAGAAACGTATCAAGGAAAGTACGCATTCTTGGGATGGATCTACATATTTTACATGGAAAGATGTCATGATAAATTTGGACCACAGAAAGTTTTTGGGTTGCCTTTTCTGACCTTGTTTATATTCAGGGACCTCCTGACGGAATTGAGATCAAAAATATACATTCTAGAAACCTACTAGGACAATTTTAAGAAAATATGAAAGTCAATATGATTTATTTAGATCGACAAATCAATTTAAGAGTGGCGATGAAGTGCTGTTATGGTCTGATCAACTGTTTGATCAACCTTAGATTAACTTTTAAGTATTTCGACAATAATCACTTATAGAAATCACTGGAACTTGATTTACTCTGCGTTAGATAAATTGGTATCTCCTAGCCTATATAGCATACTGTCCTCAACTGTATAATACAAAACAAATAAAACTTCTATAAATAAAAAAAAATGTTATATTAAATATTAGAATAAACCAATGGGTTTCTTGTCTCGTTCAAGCATACGCTGGGTAAGCAAGTTATGATAAAACCATTAAATGTATACATTAAACATTCCCTGAAACATAATTTCTCTTCATAGCACTCAATAATGATTTAAACTACCATTGTATTCTCTCACTGCTTAGTGTTTAGTTAATCTAATATGGATCCTGATAGGTAAAGGGTATTCAACTATGAAAGAAAATACATTAAATACTTATATTAGAAATTAACTTGATAAACCCCAATCCCTCAATAGTGACTTCAACGCGTGGACTGCATGAAGCTCCCTTCCTAATATCGTAACCTGAACTTAATCTTTGCGAAATTAGCTACCCAATATTTCACTGCATTACATTCTGAACATTGACCCCATTTATAAATAAAAAGTATCCCTCTCATAACCAACGAAATCACAAATTAATGAATGCACGATCTGCGAAACCAACAAATAGGGATATCGTAGTAAAAGTGTTCAGTTAAGAAACTAGCTTCATATCATAGTACTGTATATCAACTATAGTATAGATAAATGCTTTTCAAGTGTCGTTTTAATTTATATTATATTTTATTTAGTATCTAAAGAGAAGTGGCCGAAATACAGTTGATATATTATTCAGTTACTTGTTAATTCATTGTCTTTCGTAAAATTTGAAAAGTAAATTTACCGACAAACTGCTAAAATATTTTAATTTTATCAAAGGTAAAAACACACCGGGTTTTGTACAAAGATAATTTTATCACACAGGGGATTATACATACGGCTTTCGCTTCTAAAAAAAATATAATCGAAACTTTCATACATATAGAAACATGAAACATCGTAGAAATACGATAATCAGTCATAAGCTCACGATAATCATGGTCACGACTCCGTACATATGGCACAGTGTGGTGTTGACAGGGCAGGTGTAGGATATGTATCTAGGTCGGGACATTCCGATACTTGTTACGTAAAATATCAGGTTGCTACGTTAACGTCTACGTACTACAAGGTCGTCCATGGAGTAAAACAGGGAATGTCACTTGACAGTTAATCGCTTAATAAATCAATTAAGCTTTGTCTATAAAGTGGCTTGCGTTGTCTACAGCCTGTTGTGTGAAAACTTTCATTACGGTCGTAGAAAAGAGGTAATTCCACCTATACCTGAATGTGAAATGAGTAGTATGCTACAACAATGTAATACCCCCGCCACAGCAAACCTGGCTAAGTAAATGTCCGTCTACCTGGTTGGAATTCCACTAAATTATTCGCTTAAAATTGCCTTATTTATTTCCTATTTGAATATTATTAATTTTTATGATTACTTAGGTTTGCTGCTACAGAGAAGAAAACAATGTGTGTTTTTATTGAAATATTGATAGCTTAGTATGAAGTTAACACATTTTCCAAATTGCATTAAAATATGTCCATAGACAAGCAAGCTACAAGCTACAAGCTACAAGCTTTTTTTAATCTTTTCCGTAACCGTTAGACGTACAATAACGCTTCAATATACTAAATTATTTGTTTTTTAAGCTCTACAAAATGGTTCATTATGGTCATGGAAAAAAGGTTATTATAAAGAGGCAATACCTGAATTGTAAAATGAATTGCATACTACATCAAAATGTAAAATGAGCTTATTTTGAATTGAGCTTTATCTATAACGTTGCTTGCGTTGTTGGGTGAAAACTTTCATTAGGGGGAAAAAGAGGTAATTCCCCAATACCTGTATGTGAAATGAGTGATACAACAAAAACACATGTAAACATATGTAAAATGAGCTTATTTTAAACAAAAAATATATAAATAACAAAATCAAATTAATAATTTTTTTATGAATTGGCCAAAGATTGTACTATGAAAGCGAAAGGAGCAAAGGAGATAGTAAACGGGTGTTAAATTTGTTTTAAGGAGTTCTCACATAAAGAGAAAATTATAATATATCTTGTTGTTTTTATTTTACAGAAAGAAGTACCTACAGCTTTGGGTAAGCTCCACCCACTGGGTCACAGCTTTGTCTCATAGCTAAAAGTAATTAATTATTGGCCGGATTTAAAGTATTTGAGCCCGGGTCCCTAGGAAAAAAGGCTCGCGTTGTAATCATTAGAAAGACAATTTTACTAGCTATTAAAGACGAACATGAAAAGCGAAAACGTGTAAACCTAATACAAAACAAAATATTACTATAAACAAATTAAAAATGAATCCATTATTCACTTTTTATGTTAATGTATTTTATTTGATATGAATGTGAATTTATTTGAATTCATAAAAATAGCTTTAGTAGTCAAGTTGTGTTCTTGTTATGAAGTTTAAGGTAGGATAGTTTATATTTGTGAATTTGTTTGCTCACGATTTTGGATGAATATCTGTAAGTATATTCCTAAAATATCTTCAAGTTCTTAACGCAATACATAGTAATATACGCCTTTAGTTAATACAATTTCTTACCAAACCACCGTAGTCAACTTTAAATTAATTAATTAGATATGTATTGAGCTACAAACTTGAGGGTTACAATCAATATCTTAACTACTAATATTATTATAATATTCTAACAACTTCTAAAAATTTGAATTTTGGAAAAATATGAGTGGAACACACGAGTTAAATAATTGTCTCGTATAGTTAAGTACAATGATAATGGACCAACTACTACATACTCCCTTTAATTGTAATATTTGTGGAAACACGAAAACACGTATACCGTACTAGGAACTTACCTTTAGGAACTTATCAGTTTGAGAATGTTTGATAGGGGGAAATATGTAAATTCAAAACAAAGATAAACAAAAGATAATTGATTTTATGTTAACAGTAAACTTACTAAGCTACAAATACTCACTATTCAAATAGGTACCCACTGTGTACCCAAAAAACTCTCCAATATTCTATGAATACGGCTTTACTCTACAAAACGCCCCTCTATGATAAACCAATGTCATAAAAACACTTTAATAAATGGCCATAATTACATTGGGTCTGCAAAAAATAGAACAAATATTAATATTCAAAACCCATAGTTGGGTTACATCGATATTACTACGCTAAATGAAACCTAAATGTTACATTAAAAACAAAAAAGTTGTGAAGAGTTAATTGAAAAATTCTTACAATTGAAGTTTACTAAACGAATTTTGGAAAAATAAACCATCTCATGCTGTTAGATTACAAAGAAAAGGACTTACAGTGAGGCGCGGATGTTCATGTTGACTGAGCGAGCTCCAAGGAGAGACTGGGCGTGCGTTGGGCGAAGTCCTTCCACCGCACGCCACACCACCCTACCAAATTGAACGTCTACCTCTCATCACCCTTAGATCTAAACACTACTACCCTGCCACTGTATCAGCTTCTACTATCTTTTGAGACTACTTACAGCAAGTGCTACTACATTTCCTGACTCCCATCCTCCCCTAAACACTACCAGACCAATACAGCTATGCAAGTAACCACATTTATTTTAACTTATACACATAACAATACTTTGCTCATTACACTTTAACTTAAAACGAATCCAATGAAATGAATACTTGGTCCCAGGAACTCCAACGTTGCTATCTTCAAGAAGTGATTTTACTAGAATTTGTATAAGTGACTTCAGATATGAATAAGAAAAGGGAACTGCAGAGAAGGTACTAAATATTTTTGAAAAGAAATCTGAAGGATCATTTCTAAGGTCAAGGTGTGGAATACATGAGAAATCGAGCCAATGCAAACCATCCTCAAGAGAACATTACACTTTCCTTATTTTCTAAGCTGGTTGACACTGGCGCTGACAATCCTGGAAGAGCTTTAAGGGTTAAGATTGGTAGCTTCAGAAGTAACTTCTTAAGAGTATCCAATGAAAAACATTTATCTGGATTTCATAATTCTGGGACTTGTCTGGAACATTGGCGATTCTCAGTTTAATGTTCAGAAATGCTAAACAGCCTTTGGAAGAGACGTAGGGTATATATCTGCTCAAAGAGTAGGCGGCCTCAGATCATCTCTGACGATGAAGATCTATCATTGTGCCTTGAATATGCTTTAGGGGAATCGTTGGATCGGCCCTAACTTATAGTTTTTATTTGCTTTGAAGAGTGAATATACCGTACCTAGTGGCTCACAAAATATGCTCAGACCAAAGAAGTGTTAAGGCCAATTTTACAGCGCTCCTTCGTGCATCCTAGGATGAAGAAGATCAGAAAAAGTTTGCTTTAGTCTTCATGCTTGATATCCTTTGCTTTATTCTAACTGCGCAGGTACAAAGCCTATATGTATTTTCTGAACGTTTATGTAATCTGAAATTCTGCAATTTTTACTCTACTCTGCAATTCATTCTAACTCTACTCATGGGTGATAAACTAATAATCCATTAACGCACTTGGAATATCCAGGACACAAAACAATGATAAACAAAAAGGTGTAAACACAGTCGAAAGTCTTCATACTGTTTATGTAGTAAGATAAAACGTATAATACCTATGACTAGAACCCAAGTAACCGATTTAACATTACTATAATACGGTAATGTTTAAAGAGCTATTTTTGAAATTCCGTAAACACAAAAGCCATGGATAAAAACCTACCCACCCTGCTTTATTAATCACCAAAATAGTTCGGTAAATACATTTTTTTTGTGGTAAAACTATTTTTAATAACATATTGGTAGAATATATATATATAGGTTTCAGAATACGGAATAGTCCGGAATAGTCCTTAAGTTTAATTTATTATTGACGGTTCGAATACTACTCAACAAAATGGGACGCTGAAATGGATTCAAAGTATGTATGAATCTGTTTAACCACAAACAACGGATGGCTTGACCGTAATCTGGATACTGAAGTTTACATCACAATCACATCCAATATCTATAAAACAGCTGTTGCCATTTTTATCAAATAGAAGAATAAGAATAACATAGTTGAATGCGCTAGTCCTACAAGGCCAATGCTGACTATATTATTTTGCCTTTACTGTATTGGTTTTGTTTTACTACATTAGTTATTGTTTTATAAGGGATGCTATAATTTACTTCGGCTGTAGGCCTACTTTCAGTTTGCCCTGTTACAAGTGAGCTTATTTTTCTCCTAAACTCGGTACAACTTGAACATAAGATTTTTATGTGTTCTTCTATCCATGGTTGAAAAGATTTAACTTGGGAACATCCTAAATCACTTAACCAAATCCCATGCTCTTTGCTAGTTGGCTGAAATAAAATATTTTCATATGTGTACTGACAATTTTATGCACCGTATAAGCAATACATCCTTGTTGCCGTTTCGATAACCAAGCTACACTATACATCTTACTACACTCTACAGTCTACTCTATCCTTCACTCATTTTTATATCCAAATACTCCCAATAGCTCAGCTTTCTTAATCTCAAGTGGTAATACAATAATAATTAAAATTCCTGACATATTTTGTTCGCAGTTCCTTGCTGAATGTAGGTCACGTGATTTATCAGCTGTGTGATTAGCTCGACAATATCTAACCTGTAAGCTCGTGGTGTAGTTTGCGAAAGACTGTGAGGGCCCCGGAAGGCCCCACTCGGTCACCTAGAGCCCCGGGTCCCGCCCACTACACTCACAGCTGACGCAACTAACTGCTGCACGGCTGCTGAACCTATCAGCTATCAGCTGTAACAGTGATCAACACAGAGAACAACGGAACTCTACGATACAATGTAAATATTTTACTTTTTATTTAATATAGTTACGATACTGCCGTTGATTATTGTAAGAAGTATACAGGATGTTTGGTAGTCAGTGTAAAAGAAAGGCATAATTATGCACGCAAATTGTGATAACAATACGCAATTTGGATGGCTATATATCAGTCATACTTCCGACAAAAGCCTTTTTGGATTTTTTTAAATTTCTTGACATATTGCCTACCAAATATCATATTTCTCAACTTTATATCAACATAATTAGATTTTCAATGTTTTTTTTAATCAGTATAAATATTTTATCAGCAAAAGTTTAGTTTGTTACAGACAAATCCATATAAAACCTTGTAAATTCGACTTGAATAACAAATTTTGAAAGATCGATAAAAAAGGTACATCTTGCTTAAACACGTTTTTATACGTCGTGTTAAAAACTGTCAAGTACTGTAGTATAAATAACTTTTCCACATGTTAAGCTTTAAAATATACAACATGTGACATTTTATGTCCACCTAGGGGGAGGAATATTAAGCTAAACATAAAATTAACCATTTTAACTAATTCTAAAAACGTATTTAGTGAAAGTAGTGAGCTGTTAATGTAAGCTGTATTAGTTCTCCTCAAGTAAACTTGTAAAATCTAATATCATAGTCAGCTGATCTATCAGCTCAAACCAGTCTAATATCTTAGTCAGCTGATCTATCACCTCAAACCAGTCTAATATCTTAGTCAGCTGATCCATCACCTCAAACCAGTCTAATATCTTAGTCAGCTGATCCATCACCTCAAACCAGACTAATATCATAGTCAGCTGATCTATCACCTCAAACCAGTCTAATATCTTAGTCAGCTGATCTATCACCTCAAACCAGTCTAATATCTTAGTCAGCTGATCCATCACCTCAAACCAGACTAATATCTTAGTCAGCTGATCTATCAGCTCAAGCCAGTCTAATATCTTAGTCAGCTGATCTATCACCTCAAACCAGTCTAATATCTTAGTCAGCTGATCCATCACCTCAAACCAGTCTAATATCTTAGTCAGCTGATCCATCACCTCAAACCAGACTAATATCATAGTCAGCTGATCTATCACCTCAAACCAGTCTAATATCTTAGTCAGCTGATCTATCACCTCAAACCAGTCTAATATCTTAGTCAGCTGATCCATCACCTCAAACCAGACTAATATCTTAGTCAGCTGATCTATCAGCTCAAGCCAGTCTAATATCTTAGTCAGCTGATACATCAGCTCAAACCAATCGTAGTACATAGAATACCAATTATAAGTAAATATTTTTGTGGATTAAAATTTCTGGCTCTTTTCTATAACTTCTTTTGAACCATATTTTTTTACAGCGGTGGGGGTTGTACCATTTTATGTAGAGTTTAGAGGAATATAACTTAGGTACTAAATTTTAATAAAAACCAATTGGGCTGTTTTTTAAATCCTATTTTCCAGTTATTTTATGAGTTTTATAGAAAAATCTCCGTTAAAAATTTAAATTAAAAAAACAAAAATAATGCCTGGAGATACCATGTATTTAGTGCCCACATACCAAATTCAATCAAAATTGGACCACATGTGTGGCCTGTAGCTCTGAAAACATCCACACGCACAGACATCACTCTGAAACCACTTTTTGGGTTCAGGGGGGCCAAAGTGGATGTATCCACCGAAAACCTAAACTCGACAATTTTACAGAAAACAATACTTTCTCCATATTCTAACCTCCATTGTATAGGGGTAGAAAGTAGTCAAATTATTATATACAGGAGATAAAGGAAAAATTAGGTAGAAAATAGTTTTATTTTATTTTATTTTTATTTTATTTTATTTTATTTTGCATGCTACAAAACAGAATACAAATCCCATTAACATTGCAGCACTATTCTAGTTTGTACAAAAATTGAGAACATGCTATGAGTTCATAAAATTGAATAAAGTAAATCGTTCATAGACTAAGAATAATAAATATTAATTATTAAATAACAACAACAATAAATAATAGTAGCAATAAGTAACAATAAATAAGAGTGACTAAGAATTACGCAAATAAATAAGATAAATAAATAAGATAAGAAACAAAACATGAGACACAAGATAACTGATGAAGGTGAGAGAAATACTGCAGCAAAAACAGCCGTTTTAGTACATGCGTTGCAGGTCTAAAGTAGCATTTTTACTCTCTATGGAGTAAAAATCATTTTCAGTCTCTAGGGAGTAAAAATCAGCTGTTGTAAACAGTTGAATATTTTGATTGTGGCAACCGTATCCATCGAAATTATTTATCGATTGATTTATTAGGTAAGGTTTAGGCCTATTGTTGCCAATTGTTCGACATATCGATGGTATAATGTACTGTAATACAATCGTTATAGACGAAATGATTGAATCACTTACTATACAGCTGCTTACAAACAGAATTTAAAACATGCTGGAAGTCATTTTGAGAGGTTATCTTGACATAAACAACTATTTAGTTTTCTAGCTTTGTTTGTTAAAATGATGCTTTATGACGAAAAATATAGTTCACCACACGGGCAAAATGTGACTTTTTAATCCTCGCTCATTTTCCGACCTCGGCTTCGTCGCCTCGATCGTAAAACTTGACCTCGGATGAAAAAGAGTT